GGTGCCACAGTGCCGCCCGCTGGGCACGGCGGCCAGGAGGATGGAGATGCTTCCCCCACCCCAAACCCCCCTAGATTTGAGCGACCCCCGTGTCATCCCAGCCGTGAATTTAGGAGCAGGGGAGGGGAGGTAGTTTTGCCATCCTCCCTATCCTGCCCTCTCCTCCCCATCCTGCCCCCTCCTCCCCATCCTCCTGCAAAACGCTTCCTGCTCTCCTAAACCCCACGCTTTTTCTTACACCTTTCTCTTTCCCCCACTCGGGAAGGCTTTCTCCCTGCTCCGCTTCTCCAACAGAAACCCTAAAGGTTTGCACAACATATTTCTCTCCCCCAAAACGTAGGTCTTCTAATGAAGAGCCCCAACTTTGTGCCCACATCCCTCTCAGCAGCATCACGCTGGGGTAGTCGGGGAGCAGGGGGGGGGCTCACATGCAAGCAGGGTCTTACAAAGCTGTAATTAGGGCCATAACGAGGTTGGAGTCAGTAACTCCGTCCCTGCTGTGCCCAGGTCACATCGGTCGCCCGGCAGCGTCACCTCCACGATTCTCCTTCCCACCCAGGGACACGGGGAGGGACGCAGCTCTGGGACTTACCCGCCAGAAGAGCCTGCTTCAGCTCAGCATCCCCCAGCACGCCGGGGCTGGATCTGTAGACCACCTCGCTGTCGACACCTGAGGAGCAGCCAGGAGAGAGGGATCAGTCCTGAGCCCCAAATCCTCCCTCCAACACGATGGAAGCGGGCAGGGAGTGAGACCACCAAGCCCCCTTGCTTGCACAGTACCCGTGCCCATGCTGCATGGATACCAGGGGGGTGTGAGGGTACATTTGGCTCTAGCGATGGCCTAGGAGCATCTCCAAAGGTGGGCAGAGCGGGTGGTTGTGCGCATGCACCCACGTACACCCTGTGGATGGACACCACGGCTCCCCATACCTTGTTTCTCCAGCGCCTCGATGAGCCTGGCCACGGTCGGCAGCGCCTGCTCGGGGAGCGTGGGGTGCTCGGCGAGATCTGCCTGCCCGGGGAGCCCTGGGATGGAAAGACAGGGAGAAGGGGCTTAGAAATTCCTGCCTGTGGGAATTCCAGCCTCTTTTCTTGGCTGCCCCAGGATAGGATCAAGCTGCTGCTTTGGCACAGCCACGACCAACTCTTTGGCTCATACATGTCCAATTTTGGAGGAGAACTTCTCCCATATTTTATCCCCTTTTTGCAGTAAGAGTCACTGTTGGGGGTTCAGACACTTGCTGAGATGCAAAGAACTGCTTGGGCATGAGCCCTGCCCTCGGGAAGCGTCCTGCCCTGAGCGTGAAGCTCCTTCAAGCCAAAAACCCTTCCCCACCTCTCTTCCCGTGGCACTGAGAACTGCCCCCTCTCACCACCCACAGCCCTTAGCAGCAGCAGCAGGAGCTGAGGGGGAAGATCTGTACCCGGCACAGACACGGCTCCCTGCAGCTCTCACCCACTTGGATTCTCTGGTGTCTACCACAGCATTGAGCACAAGCCCAAGGAGGACTCAGCCACCCTCTTGGCTGGTGCAGACCTCCATCAGCCCTTGAGGAGCCCTTCAGCCAAACATGAACCACACTTCCCACGGCACAAATCCCCAGGGGCTGCTGGCTCCCAGGTTTTATATCAAGGACACCTCACCTCAGACCCTGCCAGAGAAGAGCAAACCTCCTGGCAGTAGTGAGAGCAGTTCTCCTTCTCCCCAGGTCACCCACTCACCCATCCATCCCTCCCTCCCTCCCTTCTTATCCCAGCTGATAAACCCTTTCACCTGTGCAGGTTACACCTGACAGAGACCCTGACAGTGCTGGGATTCTCCCCCCCTCCCTTCCACTCTCTCCTTAGTGGCCTTGAACCCCCATCCCTGGGAAGGGACAGGGGTAACCAGGGGCTGCCACCAGCCACAGGACATCAGAGCCGAGCGTGACCGCCTGGGCATGGATGGTATCTGGAAAGGCTGATGCTTCAAGAGCTCTTCTGCCTGTTTTATGTGGTGAGCGGATGTGTTCTGGTGGAAATATTTTAAAATAAATTGTAGCAGAATAAATAAAGCCCGAGTGTGAATTTTTCCCCCCGTTGAGGCATGCTCCAGCCCGGCCAATTCCAGCGTTAGATTCATTCTGTCTTTGGTTGTTGCTGCCTGGCAGAAAGCAGGAACCCACTAGTGAAGCCAATAAACCCATAATGGTTTTAAGGAATGAAAAAGAAAAAAAAAAAGGGGGGGGGAAGCTGTGGATGGGACCATGCTGCCTCTGACCTTTTGCCAAAACACAACCTGGCTGCAATGGGTGGACAGGGGTCTCATCTTTGCCACGGTGATGTCCTGGTGGTCCCTGAAGAGTGGGAAGGGATGCAAACCTCCCACCTGGAGGTGGCTGGTCCAGTCCCCAGGCACAGCTGGGACCCCCGAGCCTGGCAACAGGGTCCCCTCCTCTGCCTGAGGGGGATGTGTGGGTGCATCATGTGGGAGTGGGGAAGATTTCAGGGTTTAAAGTAAAGCAGGTAGCCCATGGAAAATGTCCCCACCACATGGGTGGGCTTTTAATTAGGGAAAACTCACTTTTGGCCTCCAAGGTGATGGCTCGGGGAAAAGAAGTGATGGCAAAAAATAACCATCTGTTTCTCCTTGCTGGTAACAAGCTCAGATCAGAGCTTTAACCCCTCAGGGTGCCAGGCTGGACCCCAGCATCCCAATGCACTGCTCAGCTCCCACCCCAGGTGAAGTGGACGTGGTGCCTTGCAGCAGAGGTGACACCCAGGAAGGGAAAAAACAGCTGCCGAGCTCCTGAAAAGTGTCCCAGGGTCTTGGATCCACTGCAGAACCATTTTGGGGATATTATTTAATTAAAAAGAAGACCAGTCCTTCCCACAGAGCCAGCCCTGGTTCTGAGACACAGCTGGGAAACGCAGTGTCTCTCCCATTCAGGGTTCCCTCCAGGTCCTCTCCCTGCTCAAGGTCCTGGGGTCCCCAGACAGGACAGGGACTCGGTGGGCTCTGAGGGCACACAGGGTGGCATGCTGCTGTCACAGAAAATAAGCATTCAGGCCAGCCAAAACAGATGTCCCTCAAAACCTCTGTCTGGGAAAGGAAAAAGGACAGGAAGAATTCTCTGAAAAATTAAAAAAAAAAAGAAAAAAAAGAAAAAAAAGTCCTTTCTCTTCCAAGAGCAGGTTGAAGATTTTTACTCGAAGGGAAATCCCACCAGCTGGAGGTTTGGGTTTAAACCGACATAAAACGGGACGTGCTGCTGTGTTGCTGCAGAAAGACGTGGTTGTGGGCCATGAGTATCTGCTGCTGAGGTGCCTGCGCACCCTGGCATCACCCCAGGAAAGGCACCCCACGGAGTGGCACCCCAGGGCACAGCACAGGGGAGGCAGCACCCCTCAATCCCCTGGACAGTGGGGCTGGACACAAGGCCATGGCCAGAGCATGTCCTGCAGATGGCAGCACTTTCCCCATCTACCCCCAAAACCTGGTTCTAGGTTTTTTTTTTCCCCCTACTAAAAAAATATCTCTTTTTTTTTTTTTTTCTTTTAAATTTAATTTTTTTATCCTCTCCCAAGCGCATGCAGGGCCAGGGATCCTGTGCTGAGACCTTCCAGACGGGCCAGGCTGTGCTTTCTGCTGGGGACCTGCCTGGCTCCATGGGGCATCACCACCTTCCCAGCACCTGCAGGTGGGGGCCCCACAGGCCCACACATCTCCCAGCCCCTTGGAGAGGAGCCCATACACCCCCTGTGCAGGGCAGGCACGAGGCAGCGGTGACAGGCAGCAGGGGCAGAGCAAGAAGGTGGCTCCACTCTCTCCCATCTCTAAAAAATCCCAGAGAACCGGGCTGGAGAGCCCTTGGGTCTGCTCCTGGCTGACCTGAGTTGCCCACACTACAGCACTGAGTTTGTTAGGGCTCTGCCCACCAAACTAGCAAGGGCAGAGGGCTCCTTGTGTGCCAGTGAGCTTGGCTGGGAAGGGGGCTCACTCCCCCCAAAATGTCCCCCTCCTCCAGTCCCCTGCAATGGTAGTACACAGCTGCTCACCAACCCAAAACTGCTTCTGCCTTGATCCCATACACGGTGGTGGATGGTGTCTGGGGAAGGAGTTGGC